CCAAGATTAAAGTGCCACAAAAAGGAAAAATGCGTTCCCCCGCCGCCCCTCCGCCTCTCCCCGCCGCGGTCCTCGGCGACGCGGCCCAATGCCTGGACCGGCTCCTACCCGCCGCGGCCTCCGTCACCTGCTTCGCCTCCAGGTGGCAGACCATCCGCTCCCGGCTCGCCGCCGTTCGGTCCCTCCTCTCCGATATTGCCGACTGTCCACACTGGTCGGAGAACCCGCTCCTCGCCGCCCTCCTCCCGGAGATCCTCTCCACCCTCCGCCGCGCCGAGACCCTCTGCGGGTACTGCTCCGACGGCTCCGCCGTCGCCCGCGGCAAGCTCCTGATGCAGTCCGACCTCGACATGGCCGCCGGCTGGCTCGCGAGGCAGATCAACGACCTCGAGCTCCTCCTCCGCTCCGGCGTCCTCCACCAGTCTACAGCCATCGTCCTCTCGCGCCCCGACACGGACTCCTCCAAGGAAGAGACAGCGTTCTTCGTCAGGGACCTCTTCACCCGCCTCCAGATTGGCGGCCCGGAGTTCAAGCGGAAGGCACTAGAGTCGCTGATTCAGCTCCTCTCGGAGGACGGCAGGTCCGCCTCCGCCGCCGCCGTCGTCTCCAGGGAGTCCGGCGTCTCCCGCCTAATCTCACTGCTCGATTCGAACCGCCGCGACTCGATTACAGAGCTAGCGGTTGCTGCCCTCTCGCTGCTTATATCCGCCGGAGATTTGCCCCGTAGGTGCGCGTTCGAGGAGGGCGCCCTCGGTCCCCTGCTCCGATTAATCGAATCCGGCTCGATGCCGATTAAAGAAAAATCTGCCATGGCCGTCGAGTCCATAACCTCCGACCCCGACCACGCCTGGGCAATTTCCGCCTATGGCGGCGTGCAAACCCTAATCGAATTATGCAAATCCGGCTCGCTCTCAGCTCAATCACACGCAATTGGGGCAATTAAAAACATCTCCACCGTCAAGGACATTCGAATGGCTTTGGCCGAAGAAGGTGCAATCCCTATCCTGATGCAACTGCTCTTCTCCGGCAGCCCATCCATACAGGAAAAGGCAGCTCACTGCATATCCATTTTCGCCTCAACCAGCGATTTTTTCCGCAACTTGCTATTGCAGGAAAAAGCCCTCCAGAAATTGCTGCAGTTATTTCACGATTGCTCGAATTCCGGCACGTTCGAGCACGTCCTTCGAGCAATTTACTCGCTCTCTATTTCAGATGCCTGCTACAGAACACTATCCTGCTCGACTCCATTCATTCTACAACTTTCAGAACTCGTAAATCACAAAAATGTCATGATACAGCACATATCTTCTTCCCTGCTCGCTAATTTAGCCATTAGCGATGGTAACAAGCGAGCTATTTCCGGTTGTATGAGTTCTCTGGTTAAACTAATGGAATGCGTGAAGCCAGACGGGATGCAAGAGGTCGGAGCAAAAGCTTTGGTCTCGTTGCTTTCGGTAAAATCGAATGGGAAGGAGTTTGTGAGGGATGAGAAGAGCCTGACGAGGATTGTGCGAATGTTGGATCCTTCGAACGAGGTTGTGTCGAAGAAGTTTCCGGTGGCGGTTGTGGCGGCAATCTTGGCCGGAGGTAGCCGGAGCTGCCGGAGGAGGCTCATTGAGGCCGGTTCCCAAGGGCATTTGCAGAGGTTGGCTGAATTGGAAGTCGCCGGAGCTAAGAAGGCTCTGCAGAGACTGTCGACTAATAAGCTAACGAGCTTGTTGTCGAGGAAATGGCGAGGATAATCGAAAGGTAATTCATTAATACTTTTTTTTTTCCTTTTTTTGTCATTATTGGCGCTTTATGCTTAGTTTGTTTCGTTAATAGTTATCGAGTTTATCTGGTTAGAGGAGTGGATATGTGGGTTGGAATGTGGTTATTTATTCAAGTATTGGGATCGAGTGTAGGGAAGAATTACGCTGAAGCAAAAAACCTGTTCGAAGGCTAAGTCTTGTGATAGAATTTGAATCGAGCTTTAAGGATTGATTTGTACGTTCCTGTTATCTACTACTAAAGCTAATCGCAGGTTTAGGTTAGTTGAGAAAAGTGCATTTGCTTCCAAAATTAGGATTTCCACCTTGAATTTCTTTTTCTTTATTTAGTTCATGCGACTAGAATAATCTTTAGAATATAGATGATTGTAGATGAATACAATATTAAACAGAGAGGGTTGTTTGTGATACTTTGAGCCAGTATCTGTAGTTTCGAATCAAGATTGGAGATTTTTTTGTAATTAAACTATGGTAACTTTAGCTACATTTCAATATGCTTCCATCACTACCCTTTTTAGTACACCTTGCATTCGAAGTTGTATATTAGAACTGAAGTCGGAAGGAATAATTGTCACGTCCCAAATATGAATGATGTTTCCTTTACAATAGAGAACTGTGAAAAGAAGAGTTTCTCACATGATGATTGTAATATAGGGCCAGCAAAAAAAAATGTGAATTTTAGTTATAAATGTCATTCGAAGGCCAAATTTCCAGTTCGTTGTCATTGTGTCCGTGTATTGGTGGTTGTAAATATGGTGGTGCATTGATGGTGAAAATTATTCGATTTTATGACGATCTTCTAAGACACGTCGATTTTTATTCATTTCTTGATTTTAGTTTTTTTTCAGAAAATCGATTAGAATTTCCGACAGGCAGACAAAGGAGGAGCCTCCTGCATAATGAAACCCAACACACTGAACTCCATTACATCTGATGTTAGTATACTGTAATATATATGGACCAAGAAGTAGATGCATAAAGGAAAACCAGAA